GAGAGAGGAGAGGAGAGGAGGAGAGGGAGGAGAGTGGAGGAGAGTGGAGAAGAGAGGAGGAGAGAGGAGAGAGGAGAGAGGAGAGAGGAGAGAAAAGAGAGAGAAGAGAGGAGAGAGGAGAGGAGAGAGAAGAGAGAGGTGAAAAGAGAGAGGAGGAGAAAGAGGAGAAAGGGATGACCCCGGCCTACGTCTCCTAAGTGGTTTGGCCCGTGGGGTGTCATTATCCTCGCATGTACGTGTCACGTGTCTGCATTCGGGTTCGTGGCTCCTATCTGTTTTATGGTTCAGGGTGGTCTAGGTTTTGCTGGAGGCTTGGCGGGGTTTGGGGCTGTTCAGGCTTTCAGGTTGTTTTGACTTTGGGGTTGTTCAGGATTGAGGCTTTGGGGTTGTTTCGGCTTTGAGGTCTTGGTTGTGTGAGGTTCCGGGCTTGAGGTTGTTGAGGGCTTAGGGTTTGGGTTGTTGAGGGTGTATCTAGGAAAATTTTCGGTGGGTAGTTTCCCCTAGATAAGCCTTACATACCCTGGGCTCCCCATGTAGACCTTATATAAGCTTTACGTAAGGGGCACCCGCCTGGTAACTCTGCATCTGAAATTTCCCTTAAGTGTACTGTTGGGATTGTTGAGGTTTTGTTGTAGGACAGGGTTTGGGTTTGGGATCGCGGATGGTTTTGGGACCTTGACCGCCTGCAACGGGACACGGACCCCACGCCTGCTCCACTGCCGGACTGTGGTTGGCTTGGGCCTTGCTCTGTTGAATCGAAAGCTCTTCGACCGTCTTTTTGGCATGGGTATCATTTTGGTCGCGAGAATCTTGCCCGAACGTAAGTGCCTGATGGGCGTGTCCAAGCTTTGTTTGTCAAGTGTGCACGCTCTTTGTCGATGCTGTTGTCGTCTTCCCAGCTGAATCATGTCGTCCCAACAGAGAACTGCGCTAGCCTATGGCATCCTTTGTTGCCAGGCCCTGATCTGGAAGGATGACCCTAAGACGTCTAGACCCGGAACCGAAGTTGTCTGATCGGCCCTTACTTCATAGGTGTGGTTTTGAATGAAGTCGAGCCTGCGCGTTCCTCGTATTATCTCTCAAGCAACCATTTGTCCCTAGACTTGGATACACCGAAAGGGAGTAGTCAGGTACGCAAAGTTCGAGAAGAGCCGCATGTTGAATTATTGACGCACACGTTTCAAGGCCAAAAGACTAAGAGCTCACTGTCTGGGTTCACGGTTTGCTGATGAGGTTCCGCGATGCAGAAGATGCGTTGAACCAAGCGAACTCAATAGCTGCTGGCATTGCGACGGAGGAGCTTGTGACTGGCATGCATATTGAAACTGCTGGGGTCAAATTGTGCAGTCTTGTGTGCTCATGCAACAACAACATCTCTTGAGAGTGGCTAGCGAGTAAGGTGAACTTCTTGGAGATGAACCTGCCGAAGAAGAAGAAATCATATCAGTGCTTTGGCAAGTTGGGAAGCTCAACACTCTGAAGCCATGTGACGGGACCCAAGAAGTGTCGCAGCCAGGTTGGGGGTGTATGACCCGGAGCTCGGAAAGGCCCGCCCGACAGGGATTTGGGTATTGAAATCCTATGAATTGCCCCGGATCTTTTGCAGAGGCTTTGGCGGAGCAATTCCCAATTGCTCACGGCCAGTCTGTGAAGGTCGGCATCAGCTGGGGTTTTGCTGCAATTTGTTGATACATCATGATTTCCTTGCAGGAGTTGCTGCGAGGCTGCCGTCTGCATTTCAACCGCTTAGTCAAGGCCTCGCTGTTTCACAGTCACCGCATGCACCACGGGCAACCTAAAGTGGTGACCAGGATCTCAATGAAAACGACTTGGACAAAGCTCGCCTTGGGCTGGGCCATGCTTTCAGCCGAGCGCGTATGCAGCTGGACCCAAACAGACAGGCCCACCAGCAGCAAGTGCACATGGCAAAGCGCCGTGACGCTGGCTTTTGCAGCTTGCGACAGGATAAACCCATCATGAACACCATTGCATTGCTAGACAATCTGGACAAGCTGATGCCTGAGCTTGAACTTCTCTGTGGACAAGAAAGCATCTCAGAAGCTGAGTTGGTCTGATCGCTTCGAATCGCTTGCCCGAAGGAACATCAACACCTTTGCAATGCGAGTTCGGGAAGCTTGCCTGCAATCTCTGCACATATAGTGTGACATCTTATGGTTCCTTCTGGAACAGGCTTCCAGAGAACAAAACGGTCAATCAGGTAACTTCTCCAGAAGCGACCACTGAACAGGCCGACAACATTAAGCCTTCTAGCTTTTGATCCCAAGAAAGGCCATGAAAGCTTACCTGAGTAAAGGAGACAAAGCAGTCAGAGTACAGCCTGTGCATGCCTGTGCACTGTCGGTTGTTGCTTCTGTTTCTTGGAGTTGAAGCAGAGGGACCACAAGAATGCTTGTTGTTTTCATTACGCGCTGAGCATGCGGATGGGCAGGCAACCATTGAACGAGGCCAAGTCTACAGAGAGCTTCTGCTCCTGAGTACTTGTGGACAGAACAAAAAGAGTACAAGAACCTGAAATGATTGGCAGCTGGCTTCAAGTCAAGGGAACGGTTGGTCTCCGCTCGCTGCTCTCTCCATGTGCTTGAAGCTTCAATCCCAGGAATGGTACGCCTGGCACTTCCCGGAGCTCACTAAAATCGTGACTGACAACATCGCGTATGCCAAAGTATCTCGAGTTGTAAGAGTGCTCCCCTCAGACGGTAGGAGCACTCACGCTTTGTGTGTCATTCAGCCATGGCATGGCTTGTTTTGGACGTGCCGAGCTCTGCATGCTTTGAGGTCAGGGACAGCTTTGAAGGCTTGGAGATTTGTTGCCAGATTTGCGAGCCTGTTGAAGTATCAGCCAAGCTCGCCTTTGTGAGATTGCTTCCATGCCCTAAATTTAGCCATCATGTCTCAACCTTTGAGGTGACAGAGAGGCTCTGACGGAGGCTTGTGGGTCAGAGGAGGTCTCAGATGAAATCCTGACACTTGGCCATGCTTTATTTTTTTTTCTGATTTGTGCGCCTGTGGTGTTCTGATTTCGGAATGGTGCCGTTGCTCTCTGACCAGGAAGGCATTAAAGATGTCCATGGGCCAGGAGAGTGCCATGTGTCTACTTTGCGCTCGTATGCAGCCTTTGCCGCTGAAACCACGTCACGGCGCAGGACATAGTCGAGATGGACATGAAGAACATAGATCACTTTGCCAGCGAGGTGATCAAGCTTGCAGATATGTCCCCGGGTCGCAGAAACGTGTGTGTAGTTGCGCGTGGCTACCGCTGTTGATGTAATTTCCCGAAGAGCATAAGGCGCAAAACCTTGCATGACTACCTGAAGGCACGATGCAGTCAAACGAACCTATCAGTTGTTGTTGAGGCTGTGGTTAAAGCCGCCATGACGCATCATATTTTTGTGTACCATGCTCCTAAGCCCAGATAAAATGCGCGTGGCCCAGCATCATGTGAACCATGGTTGGAGGCAAAGATGGATCTTGTGGCCCCCAATCTGGCCGCATTGATCGGTGAGATCATTGGAGCCAGGCTCATCTCCCATGCAGGCGCCGCAGTCGGATTACTTGTCTGGATGCCCGTGCAAAGCTGAGAAAAGCTGGCAGGAAGCCTCACGAACCTGGCAAAGTATCCTGCTTCGACAGTTCAGATCTTGGGCGCTGAGAAGGCGCTCTTCCGCGCCATCAAGACCAAGGCTGGACTTCCTATGCGTCCTATGCGGTGCGTTGCGCGTGGTGGAGTTTGAGTGCAATTCCTCTGCAGGGCAATACTCCAAAGTATGGCGGCTTTGCAGCACTTTGAACAAGCCTGTTCAGCTGTAGGTAATGAGCTAAAGCCTTGCGTCGGGCATGGCAGTGGGTCAACCCAAGCCTGTGCTGCAAATCAGGATTGATTTTCCACTCTACTTTCATCGGCCGTGCCCAGCAGAAGAACAAGGGCAGAATATCCAGGCTGTCTTTTTTGCTGTCCGTCTTTTGTATTGTTGCTTGGTGGTACTTTCCAGACTTGTCACTCACGTGCCGAGGTACTTAGCCAACAAGTGCTCCCTAGCATCACGCATTGATTGCTTTTCTGACGAAGCGACCACAGTTTTTGGCGAGAAGCTCAAGGACCAGGCTGGTTTGCTGCCCTGCGGCGGCATGACTTGGAATCCCTGAAGCACCGCTCCTGCAGGTGGAGGAGCGGCTAGCGTTCCTGTCGGAAGGCACAACACCCCGAAAGAATTTGGAAGTTATGCAAGAAGCAATTAAGGAGGCCGGTGGCATATGTGGTGTACTTAGCTTCGTTAGGGCTGGTGTTGCTTCGGACAAGGTTACGAAGCTGCGCAAGAAGAAAGCCAAGAAGGTGCCCGGAATAACATGTCTTCTTTTAGCAGCTTGGGCCTCAAGCAGCCTCCCTGCCTTGTGAAGCAATTGACAGGCAAAAGCTGCAGCAGAGGCCGCAGCTGCTGGTGAAGAGGTTGAAGAAGGGGCAGTGAAGAAGCCAAAGAAGCCTTCCTGCTGCACTTGCTTGCTTGTGTTCGGCCAGCACAACATACCAAAACTATCAGCTGGCATGTGGCCACATTTTTTCGATTGGGGCAGTCACATCCACAGTGCCATGTCCAAGGAAGCGGGGACAGGTTGAGGCTGAAGAAGAGGTTCGCACAATGCAGATGCAGTATGCCAGCTTGGTATGGACTACTCTGGCATGTGAACAGAGTCAGGCAGAGGAGACTCCAGCTCCAAAAAAGAAGAAGAGCTCCAGATGCAATGCTGACTTTCATTCAGATTCTGTTCGCCCATCGAGCATGTGAGCATGCCAGTATGTCCCAGTGGCACGGGCCTTTAACGGGGGCACAGGAAGCGAGTTGCAGAAGCGGAAGAGGAAGCGGAGGAGTTTTTCAAACACTCTGCACTTTGCGCTTTGCAGATGTAACTGGAAAGCCTTCGAATCCACTCGCAGGGAGGCTCCGGTGAGCATGGTGCTGGGGCTGCAAACCGGTGACTAGAGTAGACGGAGCGGGAGGAAGGGGTGCAACTCTTATTTGCTACAACGACATTTTTTTGTTGGCTGCAAAAGTTTGCGCTATCATATGAAAGCCACTTGTAAACTCTGCCTTCTGACCTGAGAAGTCATCGTTCCGGTTTTAGCCTGTACGTTCTGGTTACTTTCTGCTTGCAGAAAACTCCTAATCTCCTCGTTGGGGGGGGGGGAGGGCGTCATTTTTTTCAGGGGGGGAAAGGGTGGAAGAGGGGAAAATTACTAGCTCTGGTCAATCTGTTCCAGGCGCCTCTTGGCTTGAGGCTGAGGCAAATGTTAAAATGCACAGGTGACCTGCCTGTCATAGCGCCTGTGTTTCCAAGGTCCTTAGGGCACAAACGAGCTTGGATGGTGTTTAGAATTGTTTAGATATCAGGTCTTGTTTGCTTGAGGTGCCGGAACAGGTGCGGTGCACGAGTCTGTGCTGCCTCGTGTGGAGCTGCAGGAGCCTGCGGAGGCCGAGATGACGAAGCGGAAGAAAAAGGCAAAAGCAGCGTGTCCTGGCACAATTTGCCGATACACACGTTTGCTTCCCATGCAGAACTTCGAAGCAGATGGATAGATGCTGTGCAGTTCAGCCTAGACGGTGGCAACAAGTATGGTGTAGCGGGTACATCCAAATCGGGCCTCAATGTTGAACACGCTTGCCTTCCTACGATGTAGACCTGAAGACTTGGACTCTGCGCAGACGTTCATTTCCAAGGCCGAGAGGAAACCACCCCTGCATTTGGCATGCTATAGTGGTCAGGCTGCCAAGGCGTAAGCTAAAGGCATTGCATTACACGCGTAGATCAGGGAAGGCAAAGGAGCCCGGAAGGTCTTGCCCAGCATGTTTCTGGTTTTGAGGTGATTTTTTGGTCTGAGCGCTTCTTGACACGCGCGACTCCATCGCAAGCTGAGACAGGATCTGTTAAATAACCAAAGGTGCAGAAGTGGCAGATGGAACTAGAGGGAGTTGCTCAGATTGATCTTTTAGCAGCTACAGGCATCATACCGCTTCTGCTGCCTGGGTGTGCGAGACCTCACCGCACTTACCCGACTGTTTCTGCAGCCGCTTAGAGCCAGATCACATCAAATCACGGGACCCCTGATCAAGAAGAGACAGCGACAGTTTGCTCTGGCTCCCTGAGCAAGACACGTTTCACTCTGACAGCGCTGAAGCCCCATGCTTCTAGGCAGGAAGCGTGTTGACCAACTTTCCGCAGCCCAAGTCTAGCCTGGGCCATCATTACAGGACCAAACCATGCGAACCTGCCAGGGATGCCTTGAGACACCCAGTGGCGCTGAAAAAGACAGCATATCTTGCTATCACATGACGTCACATGAAGTTGACATGAAGTAGAACTCTATCGGTGAGTTATGTTTTGAGGTCAGGAGAGAAGACCTGAAGCAAGCGAACCAACAGGCCGTGCAGATCCATCCAGGCTTTCTCTTTCTTTCAACTTTCTGAAGTCTGCTTTGGGCAGATGCCGATGACAGAAAAAAGGAGACGAAAAGGACCAGCTGCTGCAAAAGAGTTGCTTGGATTCTGAGTCTGATCCTGTGATTGCAACAGGAAGAAGGAAAAGGAATTCGCATGGATGGACCGCGCCCCAATTTGCCAAAAAGTGCGCAAGCAATCATAGATGAGAGTCTCATTTCAAGATGTTCATCTTTCGAGACTGTGTGGCATAGGAATTGCATGTAGCCTGGTACCACCATGGCAGTTGTATGACGGCTTTTAGCAGATTCAGCTGACAGGCCAGCCTTGGTTCAAACGCTTCCGTGGAGAGCAGCGAACCCAACGTCAAAACGCGTCTGGCAAAATCAAGCATGGAGCGGACCAAAAAAGCAAGTAAAATTCCACTCTTAGATCATTCAAAAAGCACCCAGGGAATCCAATCCTCTTTTGAATCTTTGAAATATGCGCGAACTAGATCCAAACTCTCAACTCCCTTCGGAGATCCGTCACGAGTTTGCAAACTGGCGCAACATGGATCCAATTCCAGTGTTAGTTCTATCAACCAAAATGAATCCAATTCCAGTGTTAGTTCTATCAGCCAGGCCCCATTTTATCAACTCCACTTATCCCTTTTGGTTCACGGCCTGCTCACCCGCCTGAGACCAAAATCTCAATCCCCCCAAAAAGCCCAAGCCAGAGGCCTGAACCACCCCGCATCGTTGACTGTGCTAAAAAAACCCAGGCCTGTGCACATTGCGTCTGCCAGCACTTTCAGCATTTCTGAAGCGTTTTTGGGGGAGGAACAGTTCATGTCCTCGGAGCGAGAAAAACTGTAAAATGCCTAGTTTGGCGCGTAATTTTGGACTTGGGCATAGCGTTGGCAGCATGCCGTGCTATCCTATGATGACTTTGATGCCCGTTATGATCCACGCAGGACCAAGCGTGTATGGAACGCCGCCAAGTGTTAAGCAGGACGCCTTCAGCTGAGATGCTAGTAAACCTGGGGTGGGATCTTGCGAAACTGTATGGCAATGCCAGCGGCAAAAGACCTCCAAACCCTGAAGCCTAATCTCAAGCCATCCCAAATCCAAGCTCACTATAGTTGCCAACGTGCATGAGGGACATCTAGAACTTTCTGCCTACAAATGTAGTTGTATACAGCCATTGTTGGGCTGATCCTTGTAAATTACCCTTTCTGTTGCATGCCTGGGTTGACCTTCAAAAACTAGACGTGCAGAATCTTGGCTGGCAATGCTTCAACCATGCTGGTGGCAGAATACCTTCAACCTAGTCTAGAACTCCATAACCATGGCGCAAAGCTAGCACCTTGAGTCCATGGCCGTAGAGCCCCAAACCCAGTGAGGCGGAGGCGAAGCCTCGCAAAAACGGGATCCGGCAGGAGGTCCTTTTGGTGGCAGCAAGAGCACATGAGGTACAGGAATGTGCATCTCTTTGAGGTTGGTAGCTCGAAATTCAGCACGCGCACACCGCGGACGTAGAATGCGTGGGGTTATAGACAACTTTAAAACCTTAAACCCTACTCCGAAACTCTAAGCCCAAAACCTCACCCAGAAATCCTTAAAACATGACAAGCCTTAAGCCCAAGACCTCACTTCAAACCCTACACTCCACCCCCAAACCTGGACTCAGATACCACATGCTCTGGTCACAGGGATGATATTAATTACACCCAGCAGGGATGCTCATGAGACCACGTGCTCTGGTGACACGAACTTTACTATCCTGGTCAGCATGGATGTTTGGGAGACCATCTGTGCAAGTCACACACACAGACACGTCACTATCTCGGCCAACATGGATGCTCGGCACACGATGCGCTCTGGTAACAAGGAATTTATCTTCTTGGCCAGCACAGATGCAGACCGTTGCTCTGCTGACGCGAGCGTCATTATCTTCGACAGCACAGGCATCGAAGTCTGGGGAAGCAGGGGGGCAGCGGCCCAATGCTGTTTTGTTTGACAGATGCAGGAAGCTGTCATCACAAGCAGCCAAAAGAAATCTTGCGAGATCCTTCAACGTTGAAGATCTATGGAAACCCAGCATACCGAGAGGAAGCTGCAGATGTCGGATTTCCAAAGGCGCGAATCGTTGTTGCGAATCGGATCCTCGTGCTGGTCGGCCAAGAGAACAAAACCGAGTGCGGCTCAGGTCAGGTTAAGAGATCCTGGGTTTGTACGACAGCCATGTGCTTCCAAAGCTTCTTGAGAGAAAATTGAAGTTGAACAGGTGGCATGAAGGCAATGCCACCAAGCTTGCAGTTACGAAGATCTGGCTGGCTGCGTTGTACCCCCGAGGTCGTACCCCTAAAAGGTTTCCCCACACCCCAAACAACCCCCAACACTCTTTGCGAACTAAACGGGAACCCTAAACTGCCCAAGCCCTCAACAACCCGAAACCTGCGTCCTGATTAAAAACCAGAGGCACCATGTGACAAGCCCAAACACTAAATCCTAGTGAACAAAGACCCGGAACTTTCAGCAACCCCCAACCATAAACTCAAAACAACCAGATACCCTGAACCCAAGAGAGCCCACATCGGCAACAGAGATGTCTGGAGGCAGGCAGGTAAGCTGACGTTACCTTCTCAAATGTGTTTTTCAGAGTAACTCAGACTACGCAAATCCATGCAACTTGACCACATGGAGAGTCAACATCTTGATTTGTTGGCAGCCATGATTTTGGCAAGCCATGGGCTGTCATGTTTTCAGCAGTCATGTCGTTTGTGGACTGTCTGTCCTAAATAGGTCAGGGACGATGTTCCTCTTGCATTAACGTCCAGATGTCGGTTGCGTCGATGGGTTTGGCACAGCAGATTCCAGCTGCCCCAAGGTCATGTGCAGCCTCGCGTGGTTTAGGAAGTTTAGGATTTAGGAGTTCAGGGTTTGGGGTTGTCGAGGGTCTGAAGCTGTTTGGCGGTCGGGGTTGAGGCTTTGGGGTTGAGCTTGGGGTTTCGGGTGAACCCAAACAATCTCCCCCAACCGTGCAGGGCCCAGGCACTTTGATTTGAGCACACCTGGTTCTGTAGCGGGTGTTCTCGCGAATTGTGTCAGCATTGAATGGCTGAATGCTTGATGCCATTTTGCTGGGCATTCTGTCGCGCGCCATTAAACAAGCAAGCTTCCAAGCAAAAGATCTGCTGCTTACAGTTCACGGGGCGAGCTTTTGTCCGGAGTGCAACGCAACCACACCATTTGACGATCCTCTGCCTGCTTGAAAGCGCGTGTGCGGAGCATTTGACCTTCATTTCGTTTCGTAGCACAGACAGACTTTCTGACGTTGGTCGCCTGTGTAAGGATTCCGAGGAGGAAGGCGAAGAGGAGGATGAAGGCGGCAAAGGCCTGAGGGTTCGCCAGGGGTGCGGATTGTCTTCCTCTTGGATCCCTCCAGCCTGCAATCAGTGATTCAGTAGGTGAGCAGGGTCAGGGATTGCCAAAAAGGACTGTCGCAGCGGTTTGTCCGCTGGTACAAGGTGCTGCAAAGGCAGAGGAAAAGAAGCGAGAAAGGTCTCGATCACACTCGAGGTCACGACCGCGCTCTAGATCCAGATCTAGGTCTCGTCGCCGAGCCTGGCATGCAATGAGATTCTGGCATTCCTGGGAGCTTTATTTCAAAAAATGCCCTTCCAGTCATTTCTCTTTTGCTTTGAGGAGAACGGCAGAAGGAACGTGAAAGGGAAAGGGATCGGGAAAAGGAGAAGGAGAAAGAGTCTGCGGATGATGTGAGGTACACAGTGGTTCGGAATGTTCTCAGTCATCGCAGCTGTAAGACAGCAAAGCACATACTGCCCAGGACGCAAATGCCGATGTTAGTGCTGAAACTCTTGACGAGGCAGGCTTTTCAATGCCAGACGTGCAGCTCTTGGCTATCCTGACCGCATGGCTCAAGCAGGTGCAGAGCTTTGGGAAAATGATGATTCTGGCGCCAGCTTTGCAGAAAAAGCTGCGAAGGAGACACTGATTCTTTCATGTATCCATGCCCAGTAGGCATGATGGCCTGACGCTTTCTGAAGCACAGTTTCTTAATCATGCCAGAGGGAGAGCTGCTGTTTGCATCTGCGACCTTGGCAGGATGTCACCTGAGAATGTTGCAGCTGCCTGCAGGGTGCCAGATCAAGAATGTTTTGCAGGCAAGGAGTGTGAAGTTCCGATGGCACCGGCCTAGGCAATGGGAAGAACCAAGTTCTTCGATGGCGACATCTTGAGGGTCTGGGCAACCAAGCTATGGTAACACACCAGCTTGACTGACACAACTGTGCACAGCACGTTTGAATCCTGCAGGATCTCAATGACGTAGGGCTCCCAGAGATGCATGTGGCTGTGGCAGCTACATGGAATGCAAGTGTGGAAATAGCACGCCTTCCAGGTCCTCCGAAGACTACTGCAGCGGGATCAGCTCTCCGCAGTGCAAGTGCATGCACCGACCCTGGTATCGCGGGGTTTAGTCCTGTGCTCACGCTCAAGATGGTTGAAAAAGATCATGGCCCGTGCTATGCTATGCAGAGGATGCACTTCAGTGCCTGTGGGAGCTGAACGCCTACGATCAAAGCGTGCAGACCCCAGCTAGTGCAGCTAGGGTGCAGCCGGGCATCTGGAGCTGTGCTCAGGTGCTCAGCGCCATCGCATCCGCGTTCAAGGTGAGGGCCCGTTCTGTTTGCCTCGCAGCTTCAAGTGCTCGACACCAGGCAAAGGTGAGCAGCCTGGAACCTGTGTACAGACAGACCTGGTCAGCACACTGAGTTGTCGCAGGGCACACCTGCTCTTAGGCCATGTGTCCATGCTGCCAGAACGGAGCGCAGTAGCTGCTGTCAGGCGAGAAATCTTTGAAGGCTTTAAGTCGGGAGCTGTGTGCGCATACAGTTGAGCAATCTTTGTGAAACCCTCTTAGATTGATGGGATTGCCTGCTGCAATCATCTGAGCAGATTCAAGGCATGACAGAGACAAGGATTTCCGCCAGCTGCAGCTTGACTTCAAACTTCTGGCAGTGCCTGTCATTTTGTTGTGATTGGGTTTTCGATATTTGCTCGTCGCTTCATGCAGGCTGGAAACTCCTCCGCTCACAGCGGTGCAACCTTCAGCTGTGAAATTGCAAATGTTGTGTATGCTCCGCTGACAAGCCGCGCGATGAGTGCAATCGTGTCGTGTTGCTGGAAAGGCGAGCCCCGGGTACCAGAAAATCAGGTGCGTGCCAGAAATTTGAAGTTTTCAGCGGTGCAGTTTTTGCCTGTTGGCCCAATGATATGCAGCTGAGGTGCTTTCATCACTCCAAGGGTTACTGTGCGGTTGGTGACAAGGTGGCTGTGCTGGAGTAGCAGTGGATGTCAAGACTCCGCGTCAAATGTTGCAGGCTTGCACATATTCGCATGATCCTAGAGCACCACTGACCCTGGAGATGTTTTCAGTACCTGTTTGGATCCCAGCATGCGGACATTCCTCTTGCCATGAAGTTTTGCTGCACTGCCAAGATGCGAGTGTCACCTCTTGTCATGACGCAGAACCAGTACACCATGGGTGCACCACTTACTAGTACTAAGCATTTGGTTTTTCTGGTGCGTCAACCACTTGTGTGGGCATTTGTGCTTGTGTCAGGACGAACAATCTATGGTGGAGCCCGCAATGGGCAGTTTGCGGCCTGAAAGGCTTGGCCTCACGTAGCGATGGGACTCAGTCAACAGAATGATCACCCTGTGAAAGAACACCGCAACATCCCCCCCATAGTCACCCATGCCGAGTTCCAACGCTGTGCAAACTCCAACCTTTAGGCTGTGATTGTCAGGACATACTTGTAGACGAGCTGTTTCAGCAACGTCAGCTATGTTGGCAGAAGGAGCTTAATTGATTAATGCTGTCATGCGTCTTCGCAATGATTGTTCAGTCGTCTCAGACTTATGCAGGCACTCACCAGCCTGCTAGGCAGTTTGCTCTCAGTTTCACGGCGGGCGGCTTGAAGCAGCTCGATGGCGAACGCGTCAGCACACAGGCGGAGGTGACTTATGAAGGCCGGAGCTCAGTTCCTGGCTGGGCCTTGGATTGCCTTGGCTTTCGCAAACGGGGTCACGACGAGTGTTTGTGACAATTGCGCAAAAAAAGACGAGGGATGGAGTCTGTAATGTGCGATTGCCTGCCGCTGTTGCATGTGGCCGTGGTGCGTGTGCAAGCGGGTGGCTCGCTTCAGCTGTCGAAAGAATTAGGATGTTAAGTTTCGTAACAGCAAGAGCTGCTTTGGGCGGTGGCTTCCTTTATTTCCAAGGGAACCTTCACCTTTCCATCCTTAAAAATCTGAGACAGAACGTCTAGCTCGCCTTCCGCACATTTCGGGTCAGCATAGGAGCTGTGCACAAAAGCAGGTGTGCAGGGGCCGGGTGACCATTTTCAGCAGTACACTGGCCAAGGGCTTCGCAATGCAGTTGCTCGGAAAGTGAGTTCGGGACAAGGTGTGCATCGCATGATTGGTTTTGGCCTAGCACGGCTAGCAGATTGCTCAAATGGGGAGGTACTGGAGCCGTCAGCAAGGTCCTCTGCATGCTGCTGGTAGATGGAGGGCCCACATGCAGAATGCCCAGCTGAGCTTGTCGCATCCAAGCCGGGTGTGTCTCATCTGTGTGCTGGCAAGGCCAGAAATCTGAGCAATCGTTGCGCAAGAGCACGATGCCCACAAATTCTGCTGCTCGTGGCCTTGCTGCTGACTTTGACCATTGCCCTGGAGCCTTAGCAGGATGACTTCAACTTGCCATGCCAAACATGCTTCTGGCTGACTGAGAGCCTGAGATCCAGATAAGGGAATGATGGACGCGGCATCAGCTTTGGATGCTAGCTCTGCCTTACTGGCTTTGGGGCAGCGAAACGCTTCCGTAGTGCTGAAGCTTGCAATCCCGACCCTGGTGCGCGAAGGTTGCAACACAGCAGAGCAATTACTCACTCCCAGATTTTCTTGTGCAAGACATGGATCAATTCCAAAGCGAAGCGATTTGACCAAGGTTCCTGGCAAAAAGATGCTTATTTGTCAGTTTCCTGGCTTGTTCCTAGCTACAGTCGCACGAGATCGCATGTCCCTCTTCCAAGCCTGGCGTGGATTATTTTGTTACATGCTTCAAAATCAAAGGCATTCGATTCTGCAAGGCTCTGAACGCCACGAACGAGCAGATGACGGCAGCTCCACAGATGGGCGTTTCTTCCAAAGCCTTCCTGAATGCCTCGAATGCCTCGAAGGAGGATCGGAACAGTGCCAGTTTTAATGAAACTAGCGTGAAGGCTGCGCAGGGCAACAAATACGAGCCCGGGAAGCATGCGAACGAGAAGGCTGCAGAACTGCCAACCTGACTGGGTAAGTGTTTTGTTCAAGATGGGGTGCAGGTCCAAAGTCGACCTGACAGAGACCGTCAAGCACTGCAGAACCAAACAGCCAGGTAAAGAGGGCATCCGTTGTGGCAGGTTCTCGGCCCAACACGATCTGTCTGCCAGGTTGCCGGGCTGGCTGCCTGCAAGGTTGCCAACACGCAGCTCGCGAAGCTCGCGGCCCACCTGTAAAGATGGCCCCTCTGCCCTATGCCTCGTTGGAAACATCAGGACCCTCTTGAAGACTTCCCCCGCTGACAGCAGCAAGCATCCTTCCCAGGACTCTTCCATACACCATGGAGTACATTGAGAGGTTTGCCGTTGCAAATTCGCTGGATGTCTACATGGTGCTGCAGCGAGGTGCCTTACCAGAATCAGCGTCTGATGGAAATGCATGGTATGATGGTATGTTTCTGTTGTTGGCCAACAAGCATGCAAACAGCGTGGCCGCCTTAGTTTGTATCTCACCTTATTTGGACCCTGCAATTGTTGCTTTCCATGGATGCATGCGCACATACCTTCATAAATGAAGAACCTGCAGGCTAGCAGTTCCAATCCCCTAGCATCCTTTATACCCACCGTTGATTCTTGCCCCCAACGATGCCCTGATGCCTAGGCACTCTGTTTTGACCGCTGTTCACTGTTGCTCACCCCCTCCTTATCGGGCAGTATGTTGCGGTCAAGCTCCCCATCAGTATCTCCCCTTTACATGTGAACAACACCTCCTCCCTCCAGCTCTTCTTGGAGACCTTGCAGAGTGCCGCACCCACTTTCTCGTCATGCTTCATTTGTTGCCGGGGGGATGGCAAGACTCGTGTTTGTGATCGTTTCCTGCATGCCATACCATCAAAAGGCTATGGCGGAACTCCTGCCGTCACCTCTTGTTTTCCTTGGTGCCCTTTCCACGCATGCAGTTCGCCTGATTACTTCTGATGCCTGACAATGGTCGTTCCTGGCAGCAGATGGCGGCATAGAGGACAGCTTCCTTGGAATGCCCTGAGATGACAAAGGTATCACTCGGGTTTGGGAGATCGTTCAGTCTTCGGCAGAAGCCTACCTGATGCCTCCGTGTGTGAGCTGGCCAAGCAACACAGGCCATCTATAGTTGTTCTCAAGGGACCGCCTTTGGCGAGAAAGAACCGGAAGTTGTGGTCGTTGTGGTCTGAGCGCAGCCTTGGAGACCACACGCGAGTTCTTGACCTTCCACTATTCCTGGCAGTTTCTGGCATCCTGTTACTTGCATGCGCCTCCATAAATTGCCGCAGCCAGGGTATCTGGATGTATCTGGTATTTTTCATCATTTTACCGTTTCATGCGCCCGCAATGGCTCTTTGTTCTGTGTCGTCTCAAGCTTAACATTCACCGCATCTGCAACCAGGTCTGTTTTAGACATCGCTTATCACTTCCACTGCGTCAATTTCAGATGGGTGTCAATCCAGGAATCAAGAGTGTAACGTTTCAGGCTTGCGGTGCGGCGTCTAGGCTTGGGATCCAGGCTCGCTATGATTTGATGGTTGTGCACTGCTTAATGATTCCGCTCGTGGCTTTCAGTATCATACTTTTCATTCTTTGCCGCCATTATGTTTGGCACGTTTCCATTCCCATGTCAATTGTGAGTGCGACGATTCCTGGAGCACCTCCATCGCCAAACTTGTCACTAACACCTTGCATTGATGTTTCTGGTCTGCTTGTGCCTGGACCACCTTGATTCAGCAACTGGCTATTGCAAATGAAGGGGTCAGCATCCGCGCGCCCCATGCCCGACTACATGCTGCGCAAAGTTCCTGATCTGCTTGCTAACGGAGCTCAGGTCGACTGATTTGTGTCTGCCTACATTCAACTGGCAGCCGCACTTGCGGGCTTATAGCCGTGCTGCTGTCCAGCTGCTATCTGCCCTATGGCCGGAGCCGGCAAGGGCTTGTTCGGACTGTGCTCTGGAAAAACTGCTTGGTGTCAGGTCAGTTGTAGTTGCTGTCTTGCATGGTGCCTTGCATGGTTGCTGGTCATCCTCTTCAGCCTTGGCTGGTTTGCGCTTTTAGCCCGCGTGTTTGCTATGGGTTTGCCCATGTCCACTTACGGAATATGGAGCACGAGACTTCAGATCTGCTGACTGTCCGCACTACATTTGATCACGGCGAGGTGCCTGTGACAAGCACCCTTCGGAAATTGAACCGATTCCTCAAACAGTTGACAGTTGGCATTTGTCATGCTCACGTGCTCAAGCCCTCTGGTGCGGAAGTGTGGATTCCTGTGACTGTTTGATTCTGTTTGTGAATGTTTGTGAAGACGCAGAATCATACCTAATCAGGCCAAAGACAAGGCTCATCCTGGCTAACGTATGGTGCAGACTTCTACGGTTCCGAGACGGAGGAGATGCGGTGGACATGCGGCAAATGCACGTTGGTGTCCATGTACATGTTCGACGCAAGTCTTTCAAGAAGGAATGCTGTGACCAATTGTGATGCAATACGTTTGCTAGTTCTGGGGGAGGACTTGATTCTCCATCAGCTCCAGACACTGAGTCCGAATTCCAGTGCGATGCGAATCCGCGAGATCATCGAGGTGAAAGACGGCAGCTGTGCCGAATACCGCCGCAGCTTCCTTTCCCACCAGAAGGTGCTGTGAAAAGCGTCAAAGAATGTTTGCCATGTTGGCATTCTACATGTGGGCGTGCCAAGTCCAGATCTTCCAAGCTTTGTACCGACAGACGGAGACTTCTGAAAAGAAGGACAAGACGAGAGACAGGCAGAAGCAAAGAAAATGTCTGGAGACATTGGAGGGGCCGCCTGTGCTTGTGGGCTCCAATGGCTTCAAATGCACTATGTCTGTCCGATTGTTTTAGCCGTGTACAGCTCTTAGTAGTTGTTTCTCTCAAGTTCTGGGCGCGCTCGCTCCCATCAAACATGCACCTCAACATCGACTCATTTGATATCCGGACCTCGTCAAAAGCCAGTGAGCTGACGCTTGCCACCAAGTGGAGGCGGAAAAGGGGACGCCGGACACAACCCCCGAAAGGCAAGGCAAGCAGAGAGAGAGAGAGTGAGAGGCGTTTTGGCAGCCATTTTGGCTCAAGTCTTTGCCTACCTCTGACGCCACCGGCCCTTTGGGGGGCGGGTTGTGCCCCTCCTCGCGTGGTGGACGTGTGGCTGCGAGCAGAGGCTTGAGGCCAACCGCCTGCAGCTTTTCGAGAACGGGCCGTAGAAAACCCCCGCTCTCAGCAGCAACACTGTGACCGCGCCTCGGCGCCAACAGTATTGCCAGCACGACTATCTCTTCGGAACACTACACGGCTAGTCCGCGAAGGTCCTGAAGCCACTTGCCCCGCAAGTTTGCTCCACAGGTTGAACCGTTGCTGCCTGTACTTCTCGGTCTAACGAACCAAAGGGATGAGGGGGCCGGAGAGCAACCGTTGCTTGTCGGAACCGAGAACCAGAGGGCCAGCGTACAAGCGGTCTGCCCCTCCATTTCGGGTGCTCGGTCGCAGCCGTGCGTGCTCCTCTCTTCTCTCTCCTCCTCTCTCCTCTCTCCTCCTCTCTCCTCCTCTCTCCTCCTCTCTCCTCCTCTCTCCTCCTCTCTTCTCCACTCTCCTCCACTCTCCTCCCTCTCCTCCTCTCCTCTCCTCTCTCTTTTGTCCTCTCCTCTCCTCTCTTCTCCTCTCCTCTCCTCTCTGTTCTCTCTTCTCTCCTCTCCTCTCCTCTCCTCTGCTCTCCTCTCCTCTTTCTTCTTTCCTCTCTCCTCTCT